ACAGGGCAAATGCTGGAATGTCTCCAGTCATAATTAATAGCCTCAATAGTCCTATTTCCATTTGGTGTTAGCTGCATTGGATGGCTCCTATTCTGAGAATCCTCCAGTATTAATAACTGTTTCACTTTTAGTGGTACTAACAGAGATTGTGTATTATTTACACTAGTATTAATTTACCTTATTATCAGTGTGTTAGTTTTGCAGAGGGCCAAACTGAAAAGCTCCTACTTTGGAATGGTCTTAATTAATATCCGGATTATGACTCTTCTTTAATTATATGCTGGCTTGAACGAAGGGCGGAGAATGTACCTTAAGGTTAATAATACTAATTATACTGGGTGCTAATTAGCTATGAAACTTCAGGGATTGCATGAGTCACATCCCAGAGATTGGTTATTAAGGACAGTTATCCTGAAAAGAAAACAACTTCCCTTTGGAGTTAAAATACCTTGATTCTTTCCCTTTCTGATGAAACTGAATTAAATATTTATTTTCCTAGTTAGTGATTTTAGGTCGGGTTGTGGCAGATTGGACTGACCACAAAAATGCTGAGTTTATTCATTATTTTTAGAGTCGGAGTTTCTCCGAATCTTATTCACAGTTTAAAATGACACTGAAACATTCGCGGATTCGTGACCATTTGACCAAACCGTTGGTTTTGGCAACAAGCTAACCAAACAAAAACTCAAATTGCTTCATGCTGATGTTTTTCAAAACACATTTTGAGTTTTGTTTGCATTTCGCTTCAAAATGTCTTTTCCTTTTAGTTTCTGGTTTTTATTTCATGTTGATAAAGAGCCAAACGTGTTAATAAACAGTGACTCTATAAAAAGATGATTCATTCGGCTGCAAAAAAAAAAAAAATCAGCTTAGCAGTTTGCCAAAAAAAACCCCAAAATTGTCATTTTCGGTCCAACCTGAAACAGAATCCTTTTCGTAGGATGACTTCCAAATCCCTGGTTCTTTCATTTATGAATTATTATTATTATTATTATTATTAATAATAATTTAATTCAGCAACAGCCAGAGTTGTCGAGATCAAATTGTGATGTTTCTACAAGACAAATGAAATATGATTAATGATTAAGTCTCCGTGCTGTAGGCATATCCAAAATATAGAAAGTTTGGAAAACTGATCAGATTTTGCAGCCTTTAAAGACATATTGTTTGGTGCCTCGGTTTCCCCCATGCCACCGTTTCAGGTGTCTGCAACAGTTAAGGAAGTTCTGAGTAAGCGGATAGAAAAATACAGGAAATGAAAAGTGAAAGCAACCCAAAATCCACAGCAAGGACCCCAGAGTAGGCTGCATTTGCAACATCTAAGCTTTTATTAAGAAAGTGAATAACGTGTTGTGTGAATTGGAGTTTGAACTGGGGCAGTGGAGAACTTTTACATTTATAAAATTGATGATGATTCGTTCAGGCCCTGAATTAGGAAAGTATTGACGGACACGTCTTGTGTTATGATTTATCGTGGTTAGCTGGGCTGTGTCTGGCTGCACAGGGGCCTGTGTGGAGCTGGGATTGGTACATTTAGCATTTGTATTAATAACAGTGTGAACGGATGGAGGGAGACCGATGAATCTGTCCCTGGACCTCAAATCACTCTCAGAAAAGAGGCTCAAAAAGAAAAAAGCCACAAGAAATGCAGAACTGATGCAGGCAAAACAGAATCAGCATCTAATAGACAAAACACATACAAACACGTAGAAAGAGTTACTAACACCAGAAAAAGTAAAACACACAACGGGCACGTTAACTTACAAACAGAAAATAACACAAAATATCCAAACACACAAACATCCACAGTACACACAAACAAGAAATAGCACAATGCACACAAATACACAGTAAACATCCCACAAACACATCAATATCAACTAAACAAGGAAACAGAAAATAACATAAAACATCCACAGTACACCCAAAACATCAACCGAATACACAATCAAAAAAACAATGCAACTATGGATATGCAATACAACTAAACACACATCTGAAGAAGTGGGTTGTGCCCACGAAAGCTCATGATACCATCTACATGTTTTGTTAGTCTTTAAGGTGCTACTAGATTATTTGTTATTTTTTAAAGTTTTTCCTGTTACAGACTAACTCAGCTTTCCCTCTGAAGCTTTTGAACTAAAGAAATGATATACAAAACAACTAAACACACAGACAGAAAAGAGCACAAGCCACACAAACATCCAGGCTACGTCTACACTGGCACCCTTTTCCGGAAATGCTTAAAACGGAACAGTTTTCCATTATAAGTATTTCCGGAAAAAGAGCGTCTACATTGGCAGGATGCTTTTCCGGAAAAGCACTTTTTCCGGAAAAGCGTCCGTGGCCAATCTAGACGCGCTTTTCCGCAAAAAAGCCCCGATCGCCATGTTCGCGATCGGGGCTTTTTTGTGGAAAAGACTACTGTGCTGTCTACACTGGCCCTCTTCCGGAACAGTTTTCCGGAAAAAAGACTTTTGTCCGAACGGGAGCAGCATAGTATTTCCAGAAAAGCGGCTGATTTCTTACAGTAAATCGTCAGTGTTTTTCCGGAAATTCAAGGGGCCAGTGTAGACAGCTGGCAAGTTGTTCTGGAAAAGCGGCTGATTTTCCGGAATAAGTGGCCAGTGTAGACACAGCCCCAGTGTACACAAAACAACGTAGACACCGAAACAGGAAATAACACAGTAAACCAAAATCATTCACGGTACCCATAAAGGAGACAAACAGAAATGAACACAAATTACATAAAATACACACAACCACGTGACATGAACACACAACAACTAACCAAGCACAAAATAACAGAAAACATCCACCATCCACACAAAACATTCAAAGCGCACAGCATACCTACACACTCAGGGTATGTCTACACTAGAAAGTTAGTTCGAACTAACGGACGTTAGTTCGAACTAACTTTCCTATGCGCTACACTAGCGCTCCGCTAGTTCGAATTTGAATCGAACTAGCGGAGCGCTTAGTTCGAACTAGGTAAACCTCATTTTACGAGGACTAACGCCTAGTTCGAACTAGCTAGTTCGAACTAAGGGCTGTGTAGCCCTTTAGTTCGAACTAGTGGGAGGCTAGCCCTCCCCAGGTTTCCCTGGTGGCCACTCTGGCCAACACCAGGGAAACTCTATGCCCCCCTCCCGGCCCCGGACCCCTTAAAGGGGCACGGGCTGGCTACGGTGCCCGTGCCAGGTGCAAGCCTGCCAGCACCCAGCTAGCAGACCCTGCACCTGGCACGGCACAGAGCCACCCACCCGATGCCCCCCAGCCCACCCCCTCTTGCCGGGACCAGGCTGGCGGCTCCCGGGAGCTTGCCCTGGACCGCAAGAGGCGGGCACCTTCCTGGGCTAGTGCGGACATCGTGGACCTCGTCCACGATCTCCGCACTAGGCACAGGAAAGTGGCCGTCTAGGGCAGGAGAGCTGCCAGCCTGGCCACCCAGGACCAGGTGTGAATGAAAATCAAGGGGGTCCACTGAGCCCCCCGACACTGAGCCCTGAGCTTACAATGGCCGTCCTGGGTCAGACCAAAGGTCCATCTAGCCCAGTAGCCTGTCTGCCCACAGCGGCCAACCCTAGGGACCCTGGAGGGGATGGACCGAAGACAATGACCAAGCCATTTGTCTCGTGCCATCCCTCTCCAGCCTTCCACAAACTTTGGGCAGGGACACCACTCCTACCCTCTGGCTAATAGGACTCCATGGACCCAACCTCCATGACTTGATCTCACTTCCCTTTAAACTCTGTTCTAGTTCTAGCCTTCACAGCCTCCTGCAGCAAGGAGTTCCACAGGTTAACTATTTGCTTTGTCAAGAACAACAACTTTCTCTTACTAGTTTCAAGCCTGATACCCATTCCTTTCCTTTGGTGTCCTCTAGTCCTTCTTTATGGGAACTCAGGAAGAACTTTTCTGAATGCACCCTCTCCACCCAACCCCTGCTTTTAGAGACCTCTATCCTGTCCCCCCTCCGTCTCCTCTTTTCTAAGCTGAACAGTCCCAGTCTCTGTAGCCTCTCTTCATCTGGGACCTGTTCCCAACCCCTGATCATGTTAGTTGCCCTCCCCTCTCCCAGCCTTTCTCTTCCCCTCTCCCACCTCCTTTTCCCAGTCTCCCCCAGTTTTTTTCAATAAAGACAGAGTCAATGTTGGAAGAAACGTTATCTTTATTTTGTACATCAATAAGAAGGGGGGCTAGGGAAGGGCAAGTGGAAGGAGGTGAGGGAGGAATGGGGTACGAGCCCCCGATGGGGAGGACTGGGCTGGCTCTGCGGGCTTCTGGGGGTGGAAGCTCTCCTGCAGCCCCCCAATTACTCCCTCTCCCCAGATGGCAGCCTGCGGCAAGTGCAGCCGGGCTGATGGCCGAGTGGTGTGATGTGCCCAGTGTGGGCACTCAGGGCACTCCAAGCCAGAACTTCTTTGCAAGCGGGGCACCCCTTAGAACTGTGTGTCCGGGGTGGGGGTCGGGACCCTTTAAGCGCAGCCCTCGGCTAGCCTGAGACAGTATCTCCATGCTCTAAGTCCTCCTTTTATGCCCTGCCGGCACTGCTTCCGGCCATCCTTAAGCCCTGTTCAGAGTCCACTCAATGTGGACTTACTAGTTCGAACTAGCAAAACGCTAGTTCGAACTAGTTTTTAGTTCTAGATGCGTTAGTTCGAACTAGCTTAGTTCGAATTAACTAATTCGAACTAAGTTAGTTCGAACTAGCGCTGTAGTGTAGACGTACCCTCACAGAATAACGCAATCCACACACCTGCCACACACAGCAGTAGCATGCACTGAACAACAAGCAGGAGTTAACTAATGCAGCCTAGCAAAACAAGCTAACATACATAGCTCTAAATCCCTGTGACCGGGTTACATGCCTGAAGGCCTTTGGAACTCCCTGCCTCATGATCACAACTCCTGCTGGTTCCACAGCTGACAGCTGCTCTTGGCAGCCAGCCTGGACCTGGAACACCGCCCTGGGTGTGTTTGTTTTTGCCCAGTAGTCGTCAGCTCGAGGATAACACGCACTAAGGGGCCCACACTCACTGCGTTACACTCTGCCCCCTACTGGTGGGGCCGGAGTGGTCGGTGCTGGGGAGGTGACGTCTCTCCCGTTGCTTTGCAGTTCTACCTGCTGGGAGCAGTTCTGGCCCCTCTCCGCGTGGCCCTGGCTTTCCTCGTTCTCTTCCTCGCCTGGCCCTTTGCGCTACTCCAGGTGTTGGGCCGGCCGGAGGCAGAGCTGAAAGAGCCGCTCGTGGGATGGAGGAGGTAAGAGAGACCCCACCCCAATGCCTCCACCCCATAGCTCTGTGCTGCCCCTCACTCCTGACCCGCATCCCTGTCCACACACACGCACACATAAGTCTCCATCTCTCCCGTTCCAGCGCCGTCTCCCACAGCTCCATCTACTTCCTGAGCCGCCTGATGTTCTTCCTCCTGGGCTTCCTACGCATCCGGGTGCGGGGCCAGCGGGCATCGCGGCTGGAGGCCCCCATCCTAGTGGCCGCCCCCCACTCCACTTTCTTTGACCCCATCATCCTGTTGCCATGTGACCTTCCCATCGTGGTCTCCCGCACAGAGAACCTCCACGTGCCTGTCATCGGAGGTGAGGGGGTGGGGAGAGGGGCCCTTCCATGGGGTGAGGCCAATGGGGAACGTTGGGGTCATTGGATGGAAGAGCCAATGGAGTAAGATGAGGAGACGAGCCCTTCCATTACATGGTTGGCCTGTTGGATGAGGCCAATGGAGGACGTTGGGGTCATCGGATGGAAGAGCCCAAGGGTGGAATGAGGAGATGGGCCCTTCCATTGCATGGTTGGCCCATTGGGTGTTGCCAATGGAGGACTTTGGGGTCAGCGGATGGAAGAGCCCAAGGGTGGAATGAGGAGATGGGCCCTTCCATTGCATGGTTGGCCCATTGGGTGTTGCCAATGGAGGACTTTGGGGTCAGCGGATGGAAGAGCCCAAGGGTGGAATGAGGAGATGGGCCCTTCCATTGCATGGTTGGCCCATTGGGTGTTGCCAATGGAGGACTTTGGGGTCAGCGGATGGAAGAGCCCAAGGGTGGAATGAGGAGATGGGCCCTTCCATTGCATGGTCGGCCCGTTGGGTGAGGCCAATAGGGTCATCGGATTGAAGGGCCCATGAGGTGAAGTGGGGAGATGGGCCCTTCTATTTCATGGTCATCTTGGATGGTTCCACCCATTGGACCCTTCAACCAGGTACATTCCAGTCTTGGGGGGAACTGGAGCCGCATCCGTGGGACTCCAGCTACAAGAAGGTGGGGCAGGAAGTGGGGCACAGAGCCAGGCCCAGCAATGTCCCATCCTCCCCATTTTTGGTGGGTTGTGCTCCCACTGGAGAGGAGAGCACCGTGGGGATGGGGCAGGATGGAGAGGGCCTCTGAAAGGAGGAGATGCGGGGTGGAGAAAAGTGGGACTCATGGAAGACAATGGGGGGTGGAGGAGACGACCCAAAGGTGAGGACCCAAAGTGGCCCTCTAGGGGTTGGGTGGTGGCCGTTGGTGGTGAATCCATCTCCTGTTGGCTCACCTGTTTCTGTGCCTCCTGCCAGCCTTGCTCCGGTTCAACCAAGCCATCCTGGTGTCCCGCCATGACCCGGCCTCCCGCAAGAAAGTCGTGGAGGAGGGGAAGAGACGGGCCAAGGTGAGATTGCCCCCCCCCCCCCCGCCACACACACGCAATTCCCACCCCCTCTGCTGGATCAGCCCCACGTCACCGCCCCACGGTATCTGACTGTCTCCCCTTGGTTCCTCCCCCAGGTGTTGTTCTTCCCAGAGGGGACCTGCTCTAACAAGAAAGCCTTACTGAAGTTTAAGCCAGGTAGGAGGAGTAAAATGGCTTAGCTCACATGGGGGAAGGGGGGCAACTAGAGTGACCCCCGCCCCCACCCTCTCTGCTGGATCAGCCCCACGTCACCGCCCCACGGTATCTGACTGTCTCCCCTTGGTTCCTCCCCCAGGTGTTGTTCTTCCCAGAGGGGACCTGCTCTAACAAGAAAGCCTTACTGAAGTTTAAGCCAGGTAGGAGGAGTAAAATGGCTTAGCTCACATGGGGGAAGGGGGGCAACTAGAGTGACCCCCGCCCCCACCCTGGGAGACCCACGTCCAGAGACTCCTCCCTAGGTGGTGTGACTGGAGGGTGAGATGGCCCAGTGGAGATACAGGAAACCCCAGCCTAAGCATGTGAAACAGGAGGAAACATCGCTGGAGGACACCGTGTAATCCCCTGTATAAATGGTAGGCGTAGCCCTGGAGTAATTTGCAGCATGGACTGAGAGTAGCAACACCATCTGAAGCAGAGAGTTAAACCTGGAGTAACATGCTGGGTAAATTGAGAGCTCAGAGTAAACCTGGAGTAACATGCTGTGTGGGTGGAGAGTAGCTACTCTGCCTGAAGTTCAGAGTAAACCTGGAGTAAACCTGGAATGAAATGCTGTGTGTATTGAGAGCAGCTGCTCTCTCTAAAGCTCAGACTAAACCTGGAGTAACATGCTGTGTGGGTTGAGAGTAGCTACTCTGCCTGAAGTTCAGAGTAAACCTGGAGTAAACCTGGAATGAAATGCTGTGTGTATTGAGAGCAGCTGCTCTTGAGAAAGCTCAGACTAAACCTGGAGTAACATGCTGTGTGTGTTGAGAATTGCTGCGCTTCCTGAAGCTCAGAGTAAACCTGGAGTAACATGCTGTGTGGGTTGAGAGTAGCTACTCTGCCTGAAGTTCAGAGTAAACCTGGAGTGAAATGCTGTGTATATTGAGAGCAGCTGCTCTCTTTAAAGCTCAGAGTAAACCTCGAGTAAACGTGAAGTAACATGCTGTGTGTGTTGAGGGTTGCTACTCTTCCTGAAGCTCAGAGTGAGTAAACCTGGAGTAACATGCTGTGTGTGTTGAGAGTCACTACTCTGCCTGAAGCTCAGAGTGAGTAAACCTGGAGTAACATGCTGTGTGGGTTGAGAGTAGCTACTCTGCCTGAAGTTCAGAGTAAACCTGGAGTGAAATGCTGTGTATATTGAGAGCAGCTGCTCTCTGTAAAGCTCAGACTAAACCTGGAGTAAACCTGGAGTAACATGCTGTGTGGGTTGAGAGTAACTACTCTGCCTGAAGTTCAGAGTGAGTAAACCTGGAGTAAACGTGGAATAACCCATTGTGTGAATCAAGAGCAGGTGCTCTGTTGGAAGCACGGAGTAAACCTGGAGTAACATGCTATGTGCATTGAGAGCGGCTGCTCTGTTTAAAGCTCAGAGTAAACCTGGACCGAATCTGGAGTAACATGTTGTGTGGTTTAAGAGCAGCTGTTCTGTTTGAAGCACAGCATAAACTTCGAGTAAATCTGGACTAACCTTGGAATAACACACTGTGTGGATCATGAGCAGCAGCACTGTTTGAGGACCAGAATAAACCTGGAATAACACACTGAATGGATCAAGAGCATCAGCTCTGTTGAAAGCATTGAGTAAACCTGAAGTAAACTTGGAGCAACATTCTATGTGTATTGAGAGCAGCTGCCCTGTTTGAAACTCAGATTAAACCTGGAGTAAAGCACTCCTCATAAACAGAACCTCAGTGTAAATATGGAACAGCCTCAGTGTAAACGTCAACTAAGCCGCAGAGTGAAGAGGAATCAGAGTCAATCTAGAGTAACCCTCTAAGTAAACACGTAAAACAATCCACTGTAAAACTAGAGTCAGTGTAAATCTGGAGTAACCCTCTGCCTAAACACTGGATAAATGTAACGTTACTGAATTGTAAACCCAGAGCAAAGGACAATAACCCACACAGAACTCCATGAGTTTCTCCAGGTGATCTCCATTCCCCTAAACCCCTGTGTAAATCCAAAGTGAATATCTTGGTGTAAATGTGTCTGTCTCTCCCAGGTGCCTTCATCTCTGGGGTTCCCATCCAGCCCATCCTCATCCGGTACCAAAACAGCCTGGTGAGTGTCTGGCAGGGATACCAAGACAGGGGGATGGCGCGACTGGGCCGTCCAACCAACACCTCTGCTCTTCTCTTGGCAGGACTCGACAACCTGGGCATGGCGAGGTCCTGGAGTGTGAGTTATGCTTGAGGGAGAGGGGGTCTGTCTGTCTGTCTGTCTGCTGCCCCCTGCTTGGGCAGGCAAGCACTGCAGTGTGTCTGTCTCCCTTCTTCACTCTCCCTGGAGAGACAAGCACTGCTGTGTGTCTGTCTCTCTTCTTCACTCTCCCTGGAGAGACAAGCACTGCTGTGTGTCTGTCTCTCTTCTTCACTCTCCCTGGAGAGACAAGCACTGCTGTGTGTCTGTCTCTCTTCTTCACTCTCCCTGGAGAGACAAGCACTGCTGTGTGTCTGTCTCTCTTCTTCACTCTCCCTGGAGAGACAAGCACTGCTGTGTGTCTGTCTCTCTTCTTCACTCTCCCTGGAGAGACAAGCACTGCTGTGTGTCTGTCTCTCTTCTTCACTCTCCCTGGAGAGACAAGCACTGCTGTGTGTCTGTCTCTCTTCTTCACTCTCCCTGGAGAGACAAGCACTGCTGTGTGTCTGTCTCTCTTCTTCACTCTCCCTGGAGAGACAAGCACTGCTGTGTGTCTGTCTCTCTTCTTCACTCTCCCTGGAGAGACAAGCACTGCTGTGTGTCTGTCTCTCTTCTTCACTCTCCCTGGAGAGACAAGCACTGCTGTGTGTCTGTCTCTCTTCTTCACTCTCCCTGGAGAGACAAGCACTGCTGTGTGTCTGTCTCTCTTCTTCACTCTCCCTGGAGAGACAAGCACTGCTGTGTGTCTGTCTCTCTTCTTCACTCTCCCTGGAGAGACAAGCACTGCTGTGTGTCTGTCTCTCTTCTTCACTCTCCCTGGAGAGACAAGCACTGCTGTGTGTCTGTCTCTCTTCTTCACTCTCCCTGGAGAGACAAGCACTGCTGTGTGTCTGTCTCTCTTCTTCACTCTCCCTGGAGAGACAAGCACTGCTGTGTGTCTGTCTCTCTTCTTCACTCTCCCTGGAGAGACAAGCACTGCTGTGTGTCTGTCTCCCTTCTTCACTCTCACTGGAGAGACAAGCACTGCTGTGTGTCTGTCTCCCTTCTTCACTCTCCCTGGAGAGACAAGCACTGCTGTGTGTCTGTCTCTCTTCTTCACTCTCTCTGGAGAGACAAGCACTGCTGTGTGTCTGTCTCTCTTCTTCACTCTC